CGCAACTGTGGTTGCCGCCTTTAGCTGAGTGTAAGTAGAAACTTCAGAGTTCTACTTGGGAAGCCAGCAGCACGGAGGGACACGGCAGCAGGAAACGGGAGCCCGGTGGCGGAGGGCATTTGAATTTCCCAGGCTCTGTCACCAGCCGCGGGGTCGCGCCGTGCTGCTAGCTTTCCAGCCTCTGTATCGTGAAGGCAAACCAAGGCATAACTTTGGTGTGAGTAATCAGGACGGTTTCAGAACAAAAAAAAGTGTGAAAAATGGAGTTTCAACTTGGGAAGCCAGGCCTCTGTCTCTTGCAGCCCCATCCCTCTGTGCTGCTAGCTTTCCAGCCAGGCTGGGAAGAAAGCAGCAGGGAGAGAAAGGGGAGCAGGAGACAGGAGCCTGGTGGAGAGGGCTTTTGAATTTCCCCAGCTCTATTTGTCAAACCAAATATGGATGCATTGGTGGCTGAGAAACAATGTCAAACATCTCACTAACTTCATTTCCAAATAAATTTAATATGTTAAATATGTTTTCTATGGTGGTTTTTTTTTTTGGATGATCAGGTATCGTTTATTTTATTTTATTTTATGTGCGGCCCAAACCAAATTTTCATCTAATGTGGCCCAGGGAATGTGAAAGGTTGGAGACCCCTGATTTAAAGCATTTTTTTAAAAAATCCAGAGACAAAGCTGCAGCAAAGAAATTGAAAAGTCTTACAAAAATTGGCTTTCCAGTGTAGCCCAGACCAAATGCCAGGAAGTCCTGGTCTCCTTTAGCACATATGTTTTTGGAACTGGGCTCATCTAGACAAGCCTTCAGTTACAATTTAAAATGCCATAAGACATCACTGACTTTCGAAAAATGAACTAAACACCTGGAAGGACCAAAATGAGCTTGAGAACATAATCAAGATGTGACAAACTACAGTGGAGTCTCGACTTACGGTTGGCTCCACTTACGTACTTTTCGACCTACGTACTTCTCCGGCCACAAATTTTCACTTCGACTTGCGGCCGGAGAATTGACCTACAGACCAGAAGGGGGAGGCAGGGAAAGCTTGGCGGTTTCCCCGCCTCC